AACTAAAAGAAACACAAACTACTACCTGGATAGGAAAACAGGTTCCTATTTCAGTATCTATATCATGGAATCTGATTGAAGAACCCATCTTTTTGTACAACAAGGATCCAAAAAATTTGATTATTGATTTTGTAAGCAAGCTCGAACTGTTGGCTGAGAAAAGTAAGCTGGAGATGAGAACGAATTTCCAAGATATTGAAGTTGCTGTCAATGAAAGAATGAAAAAAATCTTTGATCAATTTAATGAGCAAGGCCAGAATTTTTCAAGTAACAAGTTTGAGTACGAAGACGAATGTATTGAAGATTCGGAAGAAGCAGATATGTCAGCACAATTCTTGCGAATTCAGAAAAATCAACTCATCGATTTGAAACAACACCAGGAGAGATATATAAATACTTTACCTGTTTTTGGATTTAACAGTGGTAGATATGACTTAAATTTGATCAAGTCCTACTTAATCCCTTATTTGATTCGCGAGAAAGAGCAAGAAACATCCGTTATCAAAAAAGCAAATGATTTTATATCTTTCAAGTTTGGAGATGAACAATTTCTTGACATTATGAAATTTCTGGGTGGAGCAACAACTCTGGACTCATTTCTCAAAGCTTATAAAGCTAGTGAAACAAAAGGATTCTTTCCTTATGAGTGGTTTGACAACCCTGACAAACTTGATTTTCCAGGACTACCCCCATATGAAGCATTTTTCAGTAAACTTAGAAACAACAATCCTCTAGACAAAGACTTTACTGATTATGAAAAACTGAGGAAGAGTGGACTTGATGAACAGCAAGCACTGAAATAGCTTCAAATCAACACTGTACCCGCATCTGGTCTAGATAATTACAGTTACTTACAACAAACTTGGCAGAAAAACGGAATGACTGTGTTCAAAGACTTTTTGCAGTGGTACAACAACAAAGATGTAGTTCCAACCCTGGAAGCAATGCAAAAAATGATTCAGTTTAATCATAACAAAGGGATAGATATGTTGAAACTTGGATGTACACCTCCAAATCTAGCAAACATATGTCTACACAAATCTACAAATTACAAGTTTTATCCATTTTGCGAAAGTGATAAAGATTTGTGTGAAAAATACGAGAAGACATGACCGGTGGGCCTTCGATTGTGTTCACTCAAAAAGCAGTTGTAGACGAAACCTTTATCAAAGATTCATCAAAAATTTGTAAGTCAATCGTTGGAATTGATGCGAGCCAGCTTTACCCCTATTCAATGTGTCAAGATATGCCAACAGGACTGTATACGCGATGGGAGTTTGACACTGATATGCAAAAATTCAAGGCTAGACATAATCGAACTCGCAACTTTGAGAATATGGTCGTGTCTTTCTATCAAGAATCAAGACCAGAATGTAAAATTGTGAGCTTTTTTACATCTGGAAAACAGAAGAAAATTGACTGTTTTAATGTGGACGGTTATTGTGATCACTGTAAAACAGTATTCGAGGCAATGGGATGCTACTATCACTTTTGTTCTTGTCAAGAAGCTCGTCCCTCCTTAACAGAACAGGATATTGAGCGAGGAAACAAGAAGAGAGAAATTGATGATATGCGACGAGAATACATTAAAGAGAAAGGATACAAAGTGGAAGAAATGTGGCAGTGTGAGTGGTGGCAAAATTTCAAAACCAATGACAAGATCAAAAATCATGTTCGAACCCATTTTCCCTATAAAAGACTTCTTTCTACAGACTCACTTCTAGCAAAAATAAAAGATGGATCTCTTTTTGGCTACGTTCAGTGTGACTTAGTTGTTCCAGATGAACTGAAATCGAAATTTGCGAATTTTCCTCCAATTTTCAAAAACACTGAGGTTGGAAGAAACGATATTGGTGACTATATGAAGAATTATGTTAGTGAAAATGAAATGTTGAAACATCCACAGAGAATGCTTATATCTAGCTTCAAGCTAGAAAATGGAACAGTTATAACTCCTATCTTCAACTTTTATTTGGAATTTGGCTTGCAATGCACCAAAATTTATCGTTTTGTTGAATATTCTCCCCGGAAATGCTTTAATAATTTCGTTCAGTCAGTGGTTGATGCAAGAAGAGAAGGAGATGAAAACCCTCTATCAGGAGTTGTAGCAGAAACAATGAAGCTCTTGGGCAATTCCTCCTATGGATATCAGATCGTGGATAGATCCAGGCATACAATCACGAAGTATCTGAACGATGAAAAAACTCACAAGGCAATCAATGAACCATTGTTCAAAAGATTAAATACAGTTGAAAAAAACTTGTATGAGGTGGAGTTGTTGAAATCAACCATTGAGCACAGAGAACCCATCATTGTTGGTTTTTTCATACTTCAGTATGCAAAGCTGAGAATGTTGGAACTCTACTACAAATTCTTTGACAAGTTCTGTGATGTAAATAAATTTGAAGAGTTGGAGATGGACACAGACTCACTTTACTTGGCACTTGCAGAAGAAAATTTGTACGATTGCATCCAACCAGATAAGAGGGCTGCTTGGGAAAAAATGAGGGAGAGTGATTGCAGAGATTCCTTCAAGGCGGATGCAAAATCTAATTTCTTTCCTCGAACGTGTTGTAGTATCCATAAAAAACATGATAAGCGGGAGCCGGGACTTTTCAAAGAAGAATTTAGGTGCACAGAAATGCTCTGTTTATGTAGTAAAACATATTGCTGCTATGACAACAAGTCAGACAAATTCAAATTTAGCAGCAAAGGATTGAATAAGCGGGTTCTAGAAGACTCTGGAGATGGACCTTTAGCAAAGTATAGGAGAGTACTCGATGAAGCATTTAATCTTACATCTACTAACAGAGGATTCAGAACTATAAATCATATGGTGGCCACATATGAACAGACAAAGAAAGGACTAAGTTATTGCTATCCTAAAAGACAAGTGCAAGATGATGGAACTCATACAAAACCATTGGACTTATAAGAACTCTTCTGATGTATTAAATTATATAAGATGTCGTATTATTATGGTTTCATTATAATAAAATGTAAATTATGGCAGTAAGTTTACTATACGATGCAGTGATTTATATACTTTCTTTGTAATTTAAACTTTTTTTCTCTCAAAAAATTCAAATTTTTTCGATGTCTCTGTAGGTTTAGAATAGATTCAGATAGGTAGAAAGTAAAAGTATCTAATAAATTTTTATTAGATCAAATTAAACAAAATCTTATCGTGTTTTGAATTTTTTCGAAAAAAAATTTTTTGATAAAAATTCCAAGTTTTTGCACAAAAATTCTCACCATTGACTCCCCATGCACCAAAAAAACTATATACATAATCTTTTTTCTACAATCTACACGTAATTAACAATTAATTGTTCCCAATTAGGTAACGCGCGCCCAGATTTTTGTGAAAACATTAGACATTTTCGCACAAAAACCAAAAAAAATTACGTTTTTCTTACCATTATCTTAGCATCACACAAACCATAAAACCTTTCCATCGGTATTCCTTTTCTTAATACATTGTAGACTCTATACCCAATCTTAATACATAGCTTGAAGACCGAATGCTCTATTCCCTATCTTAGTACATGAGGGTCTTCAGGCACTCCCTCTGATCACCTCCAACATCTACTACTAAAAGCAATGACGTCTTTTTCTCTGGCGAAATTATTTTTTAATTGCCTAAATAGTTCAAAAAACACCTTCTTAACTCTGTCGAGAATCATGTCAGACCCTGGGATCGGCTTTTTTTCTAAGAATTTTCCTTATGATAATTGAATAATTGTAAGAAGAAACTTGTCAAAGTTAATTTTATTCCAGCTTGAATAGTTTCTAACATATAAACCTATAAATTTTTTTCTACGTGTGCAAAAACCCTCTCAAAAATTTTTGCAAGATACAGAATTTGAGTTGATTTTCTTGACAAGTTTGCTAATTTATCATCAATTTTCTTAAAAGATGCAAAAACTGTTCTGAATTTATAGCAAAAATGCTAAAAACAATTCGACAATTTTGCAAAAATTAAAAAATCTTTTTGGAAAACAACTAGTTTTTTTTTTGGTAAAACGCATGTTTTTTTTTTCAAAAATTATGCAAAACTTGTTTTTTTTTTTCTTGAATGAAAAAGCAAAAAAACGCAAAATTTTTTTGTACAAAACATGTCGAATCATTGCTTAGAAATTTTTTTTGACGACTTTCAATGCCCCCTCCCTATCTTGATTCATTGGTTTGCTTTTTTTAAATCAACAGACATGCAAATTTAGTTTTCTAAAGGATTAATTTTTCAACAAAAAAATTCATCAACATTGATTATTAACTATGCAAGATAAATATTGTAATGATTTGTTTTTGCAAGATGCTAAAGATTTTCACTTTCTTCATGAGAATGCCAAAGTTGCTTAGAGCTGTACCAGACGTGCAAACGCGAAACTTTTTGCAATTTAGGGAACCAAAACGTACCCCAAAAATGGTTCATTTTGGCTTTTTTTTGTGAATGAAGAATCCCATGGCAACTATTCAGTCAAATAACGAATAATTAAATTAGATCAACAGAGCCCCTCATTGAGCTCATCAAAATTCTAGAAGAGTTTATTGTCCAAAATTTGTGCATACCGTTGAAAAAGTGTTTATCAAATATTTTGAGTGTTTTTTAGTAAAATTACAATTTTTGGCTATCCAGCAAAAATTTATTCTACTATACATTTTTTTGGATATTATACCAAGCTAGAGCTCTATTGGGTTTGTTTAAGAGGCTCTATTTGATATAAACTAGTCCTCACTTGGATCGGGAATTTTAGCGTGATTTTTGATTAACTAAAATACGCCAAATAGTCCCAATTTTGGGATAAAGTTTTGGCTCCAAAGTTAGCAAAGACAATTGCGTTAATATATTTTTGTTAAAAATCTAAGCAGCTTTTGTTTCATTTAGTTTTTGTCTTATCTCAACACACTTTAAGAAAAACTAGTCCTAAACTTCAAGTTTTTTCTTTTTTCTCCAAATTATTAAAATTAGCACCGTATTTACTCTTTGTTTAAAACAGGTGGAATTGGGTTGATCTTGCGGCGATCGTGCTCGTGCTAATTGGATTCATTCTGCGCTGGGTTCCATGTCAGGGTGAGAATGCATTTTATGAAATAACACTCAAGTCACTTCAACTCAGTGCTAAGACAAAAACCAATATCAAACTCTTCGGGATATCTCCCAAATACCAACTCAAAATATTTCGATTTCTGTTCAAAAAAAAACATTTACACTTTGTTACTCCAATGCGTTTTAGATGTTCTCAGATGGGCGCATGTGTCTTATGTTGTTGCTCTTATTTGCTACTTCCTTCGGTTCACCAGTGTTTTTTCGAGAAGCACCTACTTGGGACCAAAACTAGTGAGCGTTTTCAAAATGGTCAGTGATGTGATCTTCTTCTTCTTCATTGCGCTCGGTTAGTACTTAAAAAAATCTGATATCAGTTCGATGGAATAACATGTTCTATCAGAATGTTCTATCAGGTTTCTCGAATCAAGTATATAGACCGTTTCAAAACAGTTGGTCCCAGCTTAAGGTACTATTATAAAACCAACCGAATTGCGACAAACGTTCGACAATCAGTTATTATATTTTCAGTGTTTTTGGTGGCGTACGGAGTGGCATTTCAATCGCTAATCTACCCTGGCATTGAGCATTCTGTTCCTACCTTTGTATGGGGATTCTTCTTGCGACCATTCTTCGAGATGCTGGGGGAACCACAGTTTGAAGATTTTAGCGCTAATTGCCTTATCACTCAGAGCGATAAAGGTAGTAAATTCAATCCTCAATTCCTGATAATTTTTTTTCTAAAAAATCAAGCCTGCGACTCAAATCTTCTTACAAAACTTCTTTGGATTCCTCGTACAAATATCTGGAATGTAATTTTTTTCGGCGTAAATGTTTCGTCGCGGCTTCCGCAACAAACGAATACAGCTAATTGTTCTGGGTTCCGCAACCATAGGCGCGTTCCGCAGTTGTAAGTGGATTCTGCAACTTTTTGCGATTCCCGCTTACAATTTTCGGATTCAGCTTACAGTTTGCGAATCCGCTTGAATTTTGCAGATCCCACTTACAGTTGCTGATTCCACGACAGCTTAAATTTACTGAACACTATTATTTGTTGTGAATCCCACAAAATGATCCGGATCGGCAAAGTTTGTTTCGGAGTTTGTTTTTAGCTATTTGATCGGGGAACCTAAAACAGCAAAGAATGTCAAAGAAAAAAGCAATGCCGCGGAAACCGCGACAAATCTGTCGCGGAATCAGCTCACAATTCAAAAAATACCCAAGTTGGCCTCGTAATTTGTTTATCATATAATTCCATATAAGAAAATGGTTGCTTTACAATACCATACGTGAAGTCTGTTTTTGGCTCAACCCTTGATTATTAAAAATCTTAACAAACTGAAAATTTAAAGCGAAACACAAATACTTTTTTCTCCAAATGATAAATGCTAATAATTATGAACAATAAATTATTGAACCCCCGTAAACTGGCCATTTATACTCTGACTGCCCTTTCTATACAATTTTTCTTCTTTTAATTACCCGAACCGCAGCCCGGATTGACGTATTTCAGGCCAAGCTGTGCAATGGATAGGCGCTTAAAGTGATATTTGTATAATCCTGAAATTCAGAGACAACTATCTACACTTTTTGAAGTTTATGGGGAATCCGCATACAAAATTGCCGTGGAAAATTGCCTGTACAATTATCTGTAACGTAAACTGTGTCGTCACATTTCTTTTGTCGCGGGTTCTGCATTAAGCGAATATAGCTAGTTGTTCTGGATTCCATCACTGCAAGCAGATTCCGCAAATATAAGTGTATTTCATAAATTTATGCGGATTCCGCTTTAAAATTGCGGATTCCGCTTCCAATTCCAGAATCTATTTACACTTTGCGGATTTCGCATACAATTTGCGGATTCCACAAACAGTTGCGGATTCCACTACAGCTTATATTTTCAAAATTTATATACTCTTTTTCAGCAGTTGATTCTGCTAATTTCGTTTCAGATTAGATACATTTTCTTGCGGAGTCCCCAAAGTTGTTTGTTTTCGGAGCAATTTTGAGCAATACAGAGTTCTAGCTATTTGTTTGTGGAATCTAAAACAGCACAGAATATCAAAGAAAATAATTAACGTTGCGGATTCCGCGAAAAATCTTATTTTGGCCTGTTACGCAATCTGTTCAAAATTCACAGATAGCAAAGATTCGACTTCATATGTATGCTTCTCATACAATTCCATGTTAGAACAAGGATAGCCGGTTAATGTGCAACCATAGTCTTAACAAACACAAAAAAATGTTTTCAAATTATTGTCGTCTTTTTTGGTGTGGTGAGATAAAAGGAGCTGAACAAAAAAACTGGGCATAAAATTAGTTTGACAGCCATACTAAAATAAACATATTGAAAAACTATTTTAAAAAAATTACTAGAAAAACGAAAAAAAAAATTGTCAAGTTTTTTTGAAGTTTTTAAATTTTTTGAAATTTTGATAACAAAAAAGGCGTTAAATTACGTGGCAGAATCACATTTGCAAGAGCTTTACTACGATATATCACTCAACCCAGTCCAATCATTATTTGTGGAACCTGATTTTGCGTGGAAAACAAAAAGAAAAAGCTAAAAAGCACCAGATTGCAAAGTTCCTCCCAATTTTCAATGGTCAATCAAAAATGCTTTTCATACAATAAAATACATGAACTCTTCATTCCAGAAGACCTTTGATTATTTTAATTTTGGACGGAGTTAAAATTTTAAGCAAAACCCAACAATTTTGCGCAGGAAAATGCTTTTATCATTAAAAAGAGGTGTTTGAACACGTAAATATATCGAAAAGTTTTAATTTCAAAAAACTTCCTAAAATTTCTAACATTTAGCTTTGTTTTTCAAATTTTGTAAGCAAAGCGTTTATCGAATACATAATTTTTTTCAATTTCAATAAATCATAACCAAAAGTTTTTAACCTGAATGATCAGAGAAAACATCCACCATTATACCATTATGCAAGCCGTTGCGTTTCTTTTCTAAAACAAACTTTGAGATTTGCTTAGCTTTTTTGGACGGGATTTTTCATATAATCTGAAAATTATGATAAGCTTAGGATCAAGCTTAGAAAAAACTGCCTGTGACCAGTTTTTGTGGAATTAGGTTGAATTTTGTCTTGTTGGGATAATTAGCGCTCAGCTTTTTCATAATTTTAAAAAATTAGGACGAGCTAATTTTTTTTCAAAAAGCGTTAAGGCAGGTACTTCAGTTTTGTTAGTACGCGGTTAAGAGTAGCATTTTGTTGGGAGCAGTATTCCAGCTCTTTAAAATCAACTATATTTTTTTGCGTAAATTTTTGCGATCGACTATTCTCAATTTTGAACTTCAAACAAACATTTATCATTCAAAAAATTCGGAATAAAAAGTAGCCGAAAATGAAACACAATAACACAGCTAGCAGGGCTGAAGCCTGTCCCTGAATGTTTCGACTGCCTTTTGAAGCCGATGAAAAATCTCTTAAACATAATGAGATAAGCAGAAATTCAAAAACAAACTTACGCATTATTTATTCCACATCGGCCAAATGACAAAATTCAATCCCTCATAATTTTACAAAAATTGGTTTAATTTGAACTGTTTTTTCGCGTTTTTATGATACGATGGTAAAATATTTTATGAGCTAAACGTCGAAATTTGATAAGAAGTCGGAATTTTTAAAAATTGAAACACAAAAAATACCATTCCGACCACAAATAAATCTTCTTTTCTTCGAAAGTTGGAACAAAATAAATCTTGATTTTTACAGTGACTTATTAGTACAAGAAACAAAAAAGCATTACGAGGCCAAACTGTGCACTGGATAGGGGCACAATTTTGTGTCTGTTTGTTCCTGGATTCCAGAGACAAGTCTTTAAACATGTTAAAATTTTGTCGGAACGATCAAAGTAAATAAAAAAACGAGAGAAGAACAATGAGATCGTCCTTGTTGCGGAATCCACTTACAATGCACAAAATGCACAGTTTGACTTGTTAATGAGCTGCGTATGATTTTTCATGTGTTTCGATAGACATTTTAATTTCGGGTACCAATTAAAATTTTTTCATAGTTTCGACTTGCATAATTATTTGTTGGTTATTTTTTCAGTTAAGGTGGGCCCATGGCCCTATGAAGAATGTCCATCTGAAAAAAACACTACAGCTGCCGTTGCCCTATTTCTCAAAGCAGCGTTCATGTTGTTCACGAATGTCTTACTTCTCAACCTTCTGATTGCAGTTTTCAACAGTCGATATCAGGATGAGAATAAAGACAGTGATATATCTTGGAAACTCCAAAAGTGTCTTGATACGCTGGATTTGTACAACCGGTAAGATTACAAAAATACGCTCAATCGAGCTGATTTAATTCGATAGAATAGAACAACATCTTTTGAATTCGATTCGGAGAAATTAAAATTACTTTGAAAGTTGTTAAAGTTTCTCCTCTCCCTTATGTGCTCAGTTTTCTTGCTGTATTTCAACTCATAATTCAAATCAACCCATAACCTGAACCACTAGTGTGTGAGCGCACTAACTTACTTGTTTCCGAGCCGATATTTTTCCTTCAACAAAAAATCTTGCACCAACTTGAGCGGTTTGAGCAGTTTAGGGAAAACGATTTCTTTTGTTTTATGGTGGGTAATTAATTGCCGAGTTATTAAGATGTGTTATACCAAAATGGCAGGTTTCAGATGATAGTTTTCAAGAAAAATTATGCGCACGATTTTACCATTAAGATATAGACAGCCATGTATTAACCAAAGGGAATAAATTTCTATATATATTAGGATATGACAAACCATGGTTTGTTTCAGATGATCACAGCTCTGTTCTACTAATTACTTTTACGACTTGATTTATGTTTTTTCCATAGTTGTCTCAAGATTTTATGACAGATGCATTTTAGCAATTTTCCACAGAGTTAATGGAGCGTAAAATACAAGTTTTTAGAAAACTCAACGAGTCAAGAATGCATGGATTTTTCATTGAAAAGTAAGATAAAACAAACACAAAAATCTAAATTCAACCAATTGATTAATTTCATTTGGATCTCAATTTTACCTCAAAAACTAAATTTACTCTGTCATATTTCTTGATACGATTAAACTCTGTTCTCCTTTATCACTCGAACTTTATTTTTCAAAAAAAATAGTAAATTATTAAAGTGCTCACACAATTATTTTCTGAACTTGCCATTTTCTTTGCTCTGGTAAATTTTAGAGATTATGAAATTTCCTAGAAGTTGATTACATCTTTCGTAAACTTGTCTGCTCTATCGAAGATTCATGCAAATGGGGGACTACATCATCCTTATTTGATTAGCATTCTCATTGTAATTCCTTAGATTTTCAGTTGCTAAGTTTTTTTAGTAAGAAAAAAAAGGGAATTGAAAGAGTTAAATTACATCTAGGGATATGCAATTATCTGCATCGCATAAAAATTTCATTGCAATAGTTTTCTTTTAGAAATAAAAAAACACCTAGTGTTGAAAAAACCTTTAAAACCTAAAACAAGCACAATTAAGAAGAAACTTTAATAAATGGGTAAAAAAATGAAAAAAAAAACATTTTGAAACAACATAATAAAATAGTTTTCGATTTTGTTGTCGTTTCATGCATGTTTCATATGCAACACCATGTCTTCTCAACAGAGACATAGTATCCCTTGAATCAAAATTTTTTCTATCACGAATTGTCTTATTTTTTCACCAATCATAATGATGTTTATTCAATGGACTCAATCACTTATCTGGATCGCTTTTCAAGATTCCAAGTAAGCGAATGCAAATTTCCGTATCCCAGACCAGCATTTTCATCAAAACTTTGAATCATACAACTGAGTTGGCTCATATGAATATCTACTAGTTCCTTTTCAAACTCTCTGGTTCTTTTACGTTCGAGCTCTCTCGAATCTGAAAGACCTATGATAAATTGAGCACTAGACTGGGAAAATTTTTTTTGAATTTGAGAATCTCGATACAATTGCTACCAATTTCTAACTGAATGCAGTAGCTCGCTCGTTCTGCAATGATTAGTTGTAATTTTTGGGATGGATTACCCTTTCTTCTATTTTTTTTATTTATGATGATGGATGAATTGAAAAAAACTGAAATGCAGGAAATTTTTTCGAATGAAAATTATTTTTGCTAAATGTAACTAAAGACCATCTGAAATCTCATTAGGTTTTGCTTACGTTTCAAATCCAAAAGATACTTCATTTCAAAACCGATTCAATCAATTTTTGAATTTTTTGTCATTTTGACTAGAAAAGA